GAACAGTTTCTCGCTTCTAGGCTTGTAAACAGAGAACTGCCGGGCCTCAAAGTTTGGAGACGGGGGAGCCAGGAAGCACTTTATAAAGAGAGTCAAACCGTTACAAACTCACACAAGGGGATAAAACAGATGTTTTACATGGTGAAATGTGACTGATGAAAACTTAGGAGCTTAATCCCACACCAGTTTGACGATGAATAACGTCGAGTGATGAGTCTGACTTATTTTTTCTCCACATTGGACTCCACTGAGAAGAAATCCTGTGCATACTGCTGCTTAAATGTTCGCTACGTCAGAACTTGTTCGGCAAACGTGTTTCCATCTCTGCTTTTGCGCATTAACTCTATTACAGGATGGGGAAAATTGGTCTTGGCGGAGGTTTGCACTCTCCGGGTGCTTCTAGCTTTTTATTATTTTAAGTGGACTAAGCGGTACTTCTTAAAAACTTCCTGAAAGTCACTCTCTCTCCACCTTCCAGCATTCCCTTCACTGTGCTCTGTTCTGCTCTTTCTGTAACCCCTAAAAAAATTATATTTTCTGATAACATCATTCACTCCACTCAGCATTTTATTAAGCTCAAAAGCTCCTCTATGTTCACTTCTGCCCCCTTTAGGATGTACAACTAAAGCAACACCAACGTCTTCAAGGAAAATCCTCCCTCCTGGCTTCCTGAGGCAATTATTTTGATGGATGACTTCTCCCTGCACCTTTCTGTGGAATCATTTAAACAACAAACATCAGATTGTAGAGCCCTAAGGGCCTATAGAGGTTCATAGTATAGAAAAACTTTGTCAAAACAAAATATAATGTATTTGAGATTTTATTCCCTGTAGGTTTACATATCTCTAATTTGGATCGTGCAAATTATTTGAATTCTGACTTCTGAGAGAAGACTTTTTGATATGACAACATGCTTTACTTTTGCTTTACTAAATGGCACCAAAGTTTGATGTGCCTGTCACATTATACAGGCAAKGATCTTAATCCTAATTTTAAAATCTAAGCCAGCCAACATGATAATTTCATGTCTTTTTTGTTCCATAAGCTCTGAGGCTAAAACCTTTACCCAGAGGMGGTAAATCTCTCCTGCAGTGTCTGTTTGTGTGCTGTCAGCCTCCTCTCCTCACGCTCCAACATTTTCAGTCATAAATTTGCTACACTGCTAGAGAAACGTGTGGTGTGACAGCAACATGCCAAGAGGCTCAATTGAGAAAGTCTCACATTCAARGAGTGCGAACTGGCAGCCTCGTCATTTGCCACATCACAGTTAAAATAAGACAGCTGATTCAGCTTATGATGACTGTGCTGATCTCTGCGAACGAATTCAACAAGTCAGAGTAATACTGAAAAATTCTAACTGCGAGTCCGTCCAGCAACATTTAGCGCACAGCGATGAGCTGTTCTGCCATTTTGGCAAAAGTTACATGAAGGTTTTGGSTTATTTTAAAATTTGGTTGGAGTTAAAGGAAGGGCAGGTTCATCCAGCATGCTTTAGCTTTCTCACCTCTGCAAGCATAGTTAGAAGACCAGTGTCTGCTCGCCATGCACACCACCTCGGAGTTCTGGGACTCATATCCCTGTTTACACCGGATTTTACAACGAGTTCCCATCGCATTCTTGTAGTGCTCCCCTCTGGGAGTGCGACAGCTCACGTCGCCGTGCTTCAGCTTAATGGGTGCGCACCACGGGGTTCCTGAAAGTAAAAGGAAGAACAGCACTGAAGCTTTTACTCAAAGGATCGACAGCTACATCAGATGTGTCATGATTTGGCCTTGGAGTGGGAGAGACTCAAACACTTACCTGAAGCCTACAAAAGCTTAGAGAGGGTTTTTCTTCTATTTACTAGAGTGAAAATGTTAAAACCCACCATCACCTTGAGTAAAGGCAGATACGGTGGGTTTCTCATTACCTTCTCTGTGACCTCCAGTCTTCSAAAATCGTCCCAGGAGAGGCAAAAAGAGGCTGGTTTGACTCAAAGGAAAGACATGATGTGTGGGGAGCATTTGGTGTCAGTGTTAAAGAACATCACTAAAGTAGTAAAAGTTTTATGTTAAAAGCAAAACGCTTTGTTACTAATATAACACTGCAGAMTTGTGTGTTTTCTCTTAATACTATCCTTTAGCTCATGTGTGTCAAACTCAAGACCCGTGGTCCAAATGTGGCCCACCATGGTATTTTATGTGGCCTGTGTGAGCTTCAAAGATGTATTAATGTCTTAAAATGAGTGTATTCTGATTTAAAGTCACCATAAACAACATTATAAAGCATGTCAATTATTTTACCCACAAAATGACATCCCACCATTAAGTGGAGGTGCACATAGTTCAAAAGTAATTGTATGAAATCTTCATTTTTCTGCATTTTCACCYTCTGCCTTTSCTGCAGCCCACTTGTACTGGAACGRGGGGATTTCCCACTAACAAGTCATAAATTCAATCTGGAACAGCCCTCTAGTGGAAATTCCCTGTCCTAAAGTGGGTTCAGAATTCAAGATGACCGCTATTCACCACAACTCAACTGTGAGTAAAACTCTGACTTTTAATGATATTTCTGTGTTAATTGTTTCATATTTAATCAGTTATACACAGTGCTTTCTGTGGTTAAAAGAGGATGCGTTAAAACACTGTTACTATGCATGAAATACTACGTAGAGCTCATGATTGTTAGTGGTGCTCAGACATAGCGAAGAGATGAGGAACGTGGCATTTGGTGTTTAATTAAAGTTAAACTGAAGTTAATTATGACTGACTTCAGTGAAAATGAGTTTGACAACCTGCTGTAGATCGCTGTCTGTCTTATAGAAATTAACCATTATCAAAACAAAAGTTCATTAGATTGATCAACTAAAATGTTAACCTTTGTCTCTAAGAACCGCACATTCATTTGAATGAATAACAAGGGATAAATGTTAATTTAATGAGAGATAATTGATCCGTGTTAAAGAATTACTGTATGTTGGAGCAAATACATCATTGTTTCAGAAAAGTTCCAAATTTGCTGTCTACATGGATACACCACAGACAGAGGTCCCATCCACATTATTAAAGATATTGTTACAGTTTTATGACTTTATGTTTAAAGCCTACCATTCAAGAAAAACTTTTTTGTTTTATTCTTTCCTAACTAAGCACTTTTTACAGCTTAGTTTGAGATGTGTTTCTGTGGACAGAAAATACATAAAATTATTTGTTTAYTTAAATATCAGGAGTAGTGTAGACAAAGATTAGTTCTTTCTTTTTATTTACATTTCAGAAGGTATTTTTCCCTAAAATTTTATGCTATTATTATTACTACTATTGCTATTGTTGCATAGTAGTATATTGTTTTATGAATTTAATTCAATTCAATTCAAAAATACTTCAACAATGAAGGCTATTCTATTCTATTCTATTCTATTCTTCTAACTCTGAGTGAGTGTGAGAGCAGAACATGTCTGTTTTTAATATCCAGATTAACGTGGCTAAGCTTTAAATCTTTTCATTAGACTCTCAGAAAGACAGCAGAAAACCAAACTTTCACAAAAAGTTGAACTAATCCTTCAGGATGCGCTGCACTGCAGTTTATTTTAACTTGTCCCCCTGCACGGTGGATCCTTGCCAGTCTCTACAAGGCTTATGTAAATACTCCTCGTATGACGCCAAGTTTGTGGGGCCACAAGTTTCTGATTTCAACTCAGTGAAATCAAGATCTGCTCTTTATTTCTTGCTGGCTCCAAACCGACACTTATCTGCACATTTGGAGAGAAGAGAGTACACACAAGCTCAGGCCAACGTTAGGCTGGGTTGGAATAAAAAGGAGTATTCATCACYCAGTCAGCCTCCTTTGCCCCGACTTGCTGCATGGATGTGTGTTGGCWAAGTTTCTGCAGCCACACGGGAGGGTTTTATTTAGCCTGAAGGATAATCGTCTGTTTCCCTGACCTTATAGTTTAAAGCCAAAACGCTACTTTGATGTGTTTGTATCACAGTAGGATTTGAGCAATGATGAGTTATTTGTTCCAAAACTTTTCAGCATTATAATCCTTGATTCACGTAACTTGAATGAGTTTAATCTACATTAAAACGTTTTAAAGAGATTGTGTTTGAGGCATCATAGATCATAATAGAGTCCTTGATTCTTACAYAAATGTGTGCAGTTTATATCTGACTGTGAACCAAGTGTAGTCACCTTTATATCTACGAGAGTACCAGTCCTCATCGTCTCCGTAGGTGTACTGTCCTGACCCTGAAAGTGAAAGAAGACAAGGAGAAAAACAACTAACACGAAGAAAAGCCCCATCCAAGACCAACGTGTTGGGTGATGTTTGAAAGCTTTTTTCGTACAAATTTCGCTTAACTTTTCACATTAATTAGACTCTAGGGGGCTGYTTCAGTTCTTCAGCACACATCATGCATAAAGAATAAATCTCTAAAGATTTTTCCCCCCAACTGTTTGGGAAAAAAATGAACCTTTTCTGCAAAAAGATTCATTCTGTAGTCCCCCTGCTGCATCTTATTGCAAATGGAAAGTGTTCAACTATCCATCAAATTCTGGCTCCACAATATCAC